GTAAGAACACTCAGATTGAATGTGTCTTTTTACTTTTAAGTTTCTGGAAATTGCCATTTATTGTCATGTTCCATGTAATGGGATTTCAGTTAATTCTATTTTTATCTTGACTTTTGAAGGAAATGGAAATACTTTTATCATAATCTGTGAAAATTTTAACTTGTTTGCATTCTGAAAAAGATCTTTAGCTTTCATTTGTGTAGTGAAACATGATTTCTCAAAATGACAGCTTGAAGAGCTTTAAACTTATTTTCAGTTACCTTTTTTAAGAATAAATTCTGTTGTACCACTATGAAGGAAGTTTTAAAATGGTTTTCAGCAGTAGGTCAAATAAGGAGTCAGCCTTTAGCAAATTGGAAGTTCTGTTGAAAGACCACTACATTTGGTAATAATTTCTGTTAAGTTTGTTTATTTAATTACATATTTGAATTTTCATATAGTAAACTCACATGACATCCTAAAATGTTGAAACATGGAAAACTTGTGATAAATTTTACTTGAAAGTGTCTCTGTTGTGTGAGACAATAATTGGAAAAAAATTATGAAATGCACATGACCTATTAGAAACTAATTTTACGTATTGGGGCTTGAAAAATTATTAGTGCCCTTTGGGCATGGATGAAGTCAAATATAAAACATTAAAACTGAGTACTTTTAATGTTTTCCTCTGAGGAACTGTATGTAGACCAAATTCTTATTCTTTAATGCCATTTGTTTTGGGTAAGAGATCCATACTTGCCTAAGTTTAGTGGGTTGTCCTTGAAGTGGTTGTCCAGAGCTAGAGGTGCAGTGTGCTTGTTAGGCTTTCTTATGGGAATTAGTACTTACTGTAGCTTGCAGGTGTGGATTTTAAAATCTGATTCTCTTTAAAAGTACATTGATAATCCCAATATGTAATTGATTGTGGGATAAAAAGGAAGGTGTAGCACATATTGAACTCTGATGAACAATAAATAGCTGAATTCTTATGCTGTTCTTTGTAAGATTTGTAATTAGGGCTTGTTTGTGAAAGAGGAAAGCTAGTATTTTGGTTTCCTTTTTGGAATTTTTCTCATTTCCCACTAGAATGTGGTCACTTGAGTGTTGTTTTTTTGCGGGGGGAGGGGGTTGCTAGTTTATTTGCTTGTTTGTGTCTGCCCAGACTTCTTTAACTGCTCTTAGTCTTTTGAAAGCTGTCTTTCCCTTTTATGTCTTTAGAACCTTTAGTAGGTTTTATAGCAATGGCATGCTTTGTATACATTTGGTACAGATCTTTTTGTCTTCTGTCTATTGTATTAGTGAACTTACTTTTTTATGTCCTAGGGTTTCTTTGGGTTTTACTTCTTGGGTACCATGGATAAGAAGTTTGCTAATTCTAGTTCTTGTTCTTTACAAACTCTGGGATCTTGGGTTTATTATTTTGTTTCTTAGAATTGAGTTTACTATGTTTAACAGTAAAATGGTCTATGTATTTATCCTGTCTGCTCTGGTAAAATGTGAAGCCTAGTGATGATAATAGACAAGGAATACCTCTATAAATGTTTATGGTTTTGTCTGTGTTTGTTTGCTGGCTTGTTTGTTTCACACTGCTTAGGCTCTAAGCCAGGGCCTTGCGTGTGCTAGGCTGGCACTCTATCACTGAACTACCTTCTCAACCTACTAAACTTTTATATATGAATCTCTCATTTCTCTCTACATAGTTTATTTTTTCTTTGATTCCTTCTGTTTTCTGCTAGGCTTTCTCCAAAGCATCTTTAAACTAAATTTCTAATGGTTTTCCAAAGTCCAAGAAATCTTCTAGTGATCACACTTGATTTTATTTCAGATTGCTCAACTTACCAGTGGAATGTATCTTAGTTGATTAAAAATGCATTGGTGGCAGAAAAAAAAAAATAGTAAAAAATGCATAGGTGGGTTTAAAAAAAAACAACCTTTTAAAGAAATACATGTGGGTTGGAGATTTTGATCAGTGGTAGAGTTTGTCCCAGCTGAGGTGAGGGACAGAAATCCCCAAACAAACAAACTAAAAACAAGGCCAGACACACTTAGTATGGTTGCAGACTTTTTCAAATATTAGAATAGAAGCTTTGAGCTGACACAGCTCTTAGAAAATTTCTAGTCTAATATTATACAGTTGAAGAGTAAGATTTATTCCATGTCTTTTCAGTATATGACTTTTCAGTGAAACTTTCTGTGGTAATGGCAATGTTTTGTATCTTCATTGCCTAGCATAGTGTACTTGAAAGGTACACACATTTCAAGTCCCAGAACCATGACTTTCAAATGTTGAGTGTGTGTCTATAGGCTGGCATATAAACTGTGCCACGTATTTTGAAGTAGTCTTAATTGTGTGTGTGTGTGTGTGTGTGTGTGTGTGTGTGTGTACGTGTGTGTACATGCACAGGTGTGCAAGCAGATTAAATCAAGCATTTTTCATCGTGCTTATAACTCTTGAACATTTTTCTGACAACTCTTTGGAATCCTAAGACTTTTAGAAACATTGACTCAGTGTACTCCATTGTTACTTAGCTGGGAAACTTCAGGCTCAGTATCATTAAGCTACCTATGTCTAAACCTGATTGCAGAGCTTAGGCTAGTAGGCCTCTTGCAGTCATTGTACTCCACCTCACTATAAATTGTTTTGTTGTAAACAGTTTATAGTTTCAGAAGTAATCTCTAGAGAAATTGGTTGTTTAGAAAATCAGTTGAGCCAGAGAATTAAAAATGAAATTCATGTCAGTTTTTAACTCTGTGTCTCAGAATTTCTAGTTTTGTTTTATAAGTGCATATTCTTTGTAGCCGCCCCAACTTTGAGTCAGATTTGCTGTAATGTGTTGTAAGTTGTGATGTGTAGCAAAGGTGCTGTGTTGTGTCTCAAGGGTAGTTTTCCCAAAGCACAGCCAGAATTGAAAATCATCATGTCATCACTTAATTTTTTTTAGCCATTAAATTACATTCAGTTAGAGTAATGAAATGATAAACCAGTGATTTGCTATCTTGTGTTGAATAAGATGAGGTTTTTCATGTTTTTAAAGTTGCTGCACCGGGTTGGAAAACAACAGCTGAAAATACTGTTAAGTATTTATATTGAGATTTTACAAATGAGGCAAACATCTTAACTCAGACTCCAGTGACTTGAGTCCATGAAAGTAATTAACAGATCTTAAGTGGTACATGGGGAAAAGCCAATTGTTTATAGTCTAGAGGTGTTTTTTTTGGGGGGGGGATGGAGGGTCTTGAGACAGGGTCTCCTTATAGTCTTACCTGTCCTGGAACTCATTATGTAGACCAGGCTGGCCTGGAACTTACTGAGATCTGCCTTCCTCTGCCGCCTGAGTGCTGGGATTAATGGTGTGCGCTACCACACTGGCTAGTCTAGTTTTTAAACCTGTCTGTACATTGAAGCTGTCTAGAGAAATCAAATAGCAACTTAAATAGAATTGATTTTTCTAGTCTTACCCAAACCTTCAGAAACAAAACATAACTAACAATATAGCTGTTCAAAGCAGGAAGCATTCATTCATTGTAAGTGTGTCTCTCCTAGCAGGTAGTTAGTATCCTGAGGAGCAAGTAATTGGTATCCTCATAGAACTTTGAAAGTACAGCAGAAGAGGCAGAGAGGTAACTAAGTATACAAATAAGTTCAGAATTACAAATTATGATACATATTCTGAAAAGCAATGTAGAGTGATTAACATGAATAACGTGAACATATTTTGGATATTGGAAAAGTCCAGGTAAAAGTCCCTAACTAGACTTTTCTCCTGAATGCCTATCATGACACATACCTCATTCTGTTTCATGCTGGCCCATCTCTACCTCTGATTCATCTGTATTTATTTTATATTCTTTCTTTTGTTCTTTTGTTTTTGAAGAGAAAGTCAAGTCTGTGTCTCTGGCATCTTTTCTTTCCCCCAGAGGACATTTTTCAGTTGCTGAATAGAATAATTTTATAAAGCCCATAGTTTATTAAATAACCTTCCATTTGTGATTTGAAACATTCACTATTTATAGACTTCTTCACTAAATGGATATAAGCACATATGATAGTCATATCTTTATAAAATGGATAATAAGATTGAATTTATCAGTATATATAGCCCTGTAGATTTGTCAGATAAGTTACAAATCTGTTTAACATAAATTATGTAACATCTGTCAAAACAGATTAGTAAGGCATGGTTTAATTTAGTATAGCTTACTAAGTAGTTCGATGATGTGTGTCTGAAATTTAAAAGCTGTCATAAAGTAATTCTTAGGCCAGTTCTAATAGATGAAAACGAAGTATGGAAGTGATATTTGAGTGTGCATGATAAACATACTGGAGCTACATTACTGTGATTTCCCTGCAAGGGATTAGTTTTGGTCTTTTACAGAAGAAGGTATTTGCCAACTATTCTTGCATTTTTCATATTTTAAAAAGTCAGTCTATTTCACTTTAATATTTTCCTTAAATCTTATTACCACATAACAATTTATATTTAAAATTAATGCTTATTAATAGTAGAGAGAAATAGTTCTGTGACCAGATGCAAGTAGTTTCATGTTTATATTGACTGTAAGATAATATATTCTTTTTTGGCTATTGAAGATGTTGGAAAATTCAGTGAGAAATTTCAGTTGTCGTGTGCCACATTTGGTGTTTTTCAGTTTTTCTATTTCCTCATAATCTCAGTTAGCCACAGTTTCTATTTAATATGCTTTCTTTAATTAGTGTTCATAGTATATTCTCATAATAGACGGAGGCCTTTTCTTTGGATGGGTTAGCTTCAGTAAAAATCAGGCCAAAGTTTCCCATTTTTTATTGTTTTTATCATCAATATTTAAAATAAATTGTGCAGCTGAGTGTAGTGGCACACATCTTTAGTCCCAGCACTTGGGAGGCAGAGGCAGGCAGATCTCTTTGAGTTCAAAGCCAGACTGGTGACTGGTCTGCATAGCCAGTTCCAGGCCGGCTGGGGAGTGGGGGCAGAATGATGACGGGGAGGGTTTAGAGAAGAGAGACCATCTGCAAGACCGGGTATTGAGGGGTTGATAGATAGTCTATGAAACCATTGGGCCCCTAGGTCAAGATTTATTAGCCACTGATGCTAATTACTTCCCAAAAGGAAAAGAAGTATCTGATTTTGTGCTGGAAGTATGACAGGTTTCATTCACTGAACCAAATATGTAATACTAATTTTTGATTGGTCTCTTTAGATAGTACTTGAGGAGTCTGCTTGTCTTAACATAGTCAATATCATGTTTTTGTGTCTGTAAACCAGGTAAACTAGTCAGCTTAAAGATGTGTATAAGAATTTAAAGAGAATACATAAGTCTACTTTAAGATCTGAAACTTATTTTTGTTTAAAGTCTAGAGTGAATTACATTTTTTCCTGAGAAATTCTGTTTATATTCTGATATGTTTTATAGCATTTTCTAGGGTAGCTTAAGCCAATTTTGTCTTTCAAGCTTTGATAGAATAGTCTATTTTAGTTATTTTTTAATCTTCATTATTTTACATAAATTTATTAGACTAGAATATAATTAATTTCGTGAGACCCTGTCTCAAAATTTTAACAAAAGACTTTTACATTTGGAGCAAAATTCTGTTGATTCCTTGTCTTTAATTAAGCATATGAATTAGGAATATGATTATTTCCTTAAAGGTGCCAGATTGATTACTTTTGTGGGGGAACTTTACAGGTACATAATTACCTGTACGGCTTCTAATGACTTACATACTTTTAAAGATAGGAATAGCATTAGATCAAGAATTTCAGTGTTTAATAGTCCAAGGAACAGTTTTATTGATGAATGGTCCATTGGTGGTATAGAGGTAAGCATAGCTGCCTTCTGATTTTGTTGAGGATATTCTAAGTTCTTTTAACCAAATTACTGATTATATTGAGATTTAACTGTATATTTTTCAAATGAAGACAAAGGGCAGTTAATATTGGTAGACAGGTACTCAAATGTATGCAAGTATGGTATGTTAATGCCCCACATGCATGCATATTCTCCGTCAACTGATGAATTGACAAACGGGTGCTTACATTGGTCCTTCCAAATGAAGCACTGCAGTGGCCCTATACAACCTGACCATAAATTGGAAATACAAGTTGCAGATTAGCTTGCCAAGAAATATTTTAGCATCAGTTCCTGGTGTCAGTCTTGTCTGTCTCCCTCACCCCTTCATTATATACTGTTTTTATGCAGAATAACTTCAAGGAGTTTCCCCATAGCTTTTAGCACAAATATGCATAGCAGCCTTAAATTCCAGTTGTTTTTCATTGTAGTAGGCATTCTTGTATAATCATTAGATACCGTGAAACCCTTTCCCCCCTTAGATTGCTACTTTTGAGAACTCAATTATAAGATCACATACTACAAACCAGAAGAATTTTTCTAAATGCAGAATTTGGTAGCTTCCTCGTGAGGATCTTCACACTCTGGCTGTGTAGTGAGATAAGCACAAGACAGTAGCATAGATGGGAGCAGTGTAGACAGGAAGAGTCATAGCACCTTAGAGAGCATGATGCAGAAGTTGGTGAAGTGATACACAGCATGGCTGAAAACTCTGTGTCCAGAAAACTCAAGCCTTTACTTCTCTCCTTAGCATGTTAGCAGATAAACTGAATATGACTCCAGAAGAAGCTGAAAGATGGATTGTGAATTTGATTAGAAATGCAAGGTTGGACGCCAAGATTGATTCTAAACTAGTGAGTATTACATTGGTTATGGTATATACTACATAACACTTACTGATAATTTTATCTCCTGGGAATTTTAATTAGAAATTTTATTCTATAAGGTTTTGTTAAGCTGAACCTGGTGGTACAGGTCTATAATGTTAGCTACTTTGGGGGCAGAGGCAGAATTGGAAATTCAAGCTATGCTGGGCATCCTAACTAGACCCTGTGTCAAAATGAAAGCGTAAAACCAGAACTGGGAATAACTCTGTGATAAAATGCTTCCTTATTATTTAAGGCCTTCAGTCCAGTCCTCAGTACTATGTGCCCCCCCCTGCCATTAAAAAACAAGTTTTGTTTTATTTGTTAATTGTGTGCTAGTTGTTTCAAGGCAGGAGCAGCCTCCTATTTGTTCTTTCTAGAAAAGCATTGTCATCTTTGTACAGTACGTAGATGTGCAGAAGTCATATGGCATTATGAATTTATATTACAGGAATCATTTTTATTTTAGGGTCATGTGGTTATGGGTAACAACGCAGTGTCACCCTATCAGCAAGTGATTGAAAAGACCAAAAGTCTTTCTTTCAGAAGCCAAATGTTGGCCATGAATATTGAAAAGAAACTTAATCAGAATAGTAGATCAGAGGTAAGAACCATACATTTTCTATTCTTTCTGGGATTTAGCAGCTACCTTTGAGAACATATCAATATCAGATTTAATTTTGCATTTCTTTTTAAGCTTATGAACATTGTGTGTAAGAAACTACTAAATTGAAGCTAATTTTACCTTAGATGTATTATATACATTAGTCAAAGAAAAAAATTGTGTTCCTACTTATAACTCTTTTCTTTTTATGTGACTTCATTGACAAACTTTGTCAGGGTGTTCAGCACATTATTCTGATACTGATAGATGATAACTTGCATGTGTAGCCTTCTTTGAAGTGCTTGAAATGTGGATTGCTTCTAAATCTTAAGAAATAGTTGTTTTAAAAATGTGGCTCTTATTTTGTCTTCATGCAGATCTTATACAAATTTAAATTTTTATCTTTTGTCTGATATTCATGATTAACCATCCAAAAATGTTTCCCCTTTTGTTAGCAATCCCTCATCTTAAATGTTGAAGGAACTAGAATGGCTTTTTAGCTTGGAAATCTCAAACACCTTTAATTCACTTTAGACATTGTGGCGATACACAGCTGAGAGTAGAAAGTTGTAAGTTACTGTGGAACTTTGGATTGAGGCTTAACTGTGGGTTGAATTAGAATTGGAATTAAATTTTCCAACCAAGTCTAGAAATGCTGAGCTAGAAACTCTCTTTCATATGCTAGTCCCCCCAGTTGCTTCTTCTGCTTGCTTCAGAATGAGTTTGTGATGACCATTGTTCTCACTTGGTGATTCTGTACTGTTAACTTTATTGCTGTTCAAAGTCATATTGAATGATAGTGTGCTGTGTCTCTTATCTCTGTGTTAACATTTTCAGAAAGTACTTTCATCCTGATGAATTCTCTCTGCATGTATTTTAGGCTCCCAACTGGGCAACACAGGATTCTGGCTTCTATTAAAGAACTGTAAGAAAGAAGAAAAAATCGCAGTAACCATTCTGTAAAGGGTGACGTATACTTTAGAAACAGTTCACGTTTGGTATAAATTTGGGAGAATTTGAATAAAATTGGCTGTGATTCATTTTTATCTTATGAAAGTCTTTGTGTGCAAGTGTGTTTTATTGACTTTTTTTTGGGAATAATTCTGTATTCATAGGAGGTACAAAAATAGCACTAAAAGGTCCTTTATGCTAAGCCCAATTTTCCCCAGCTATTTCATCTTATATAACTAGTATAACACAGAAACCAGAGTGTTGACATTGGTATAGTATGTAATGAGTTGCATCGTTTTTCCATATTTGTAGACTTGTGTTATTCATTGCAGTCAAAGTACAGAACTGTCACTAGACCACATTCTGTTAGGTGTGGACACAGTGAACCTCATTAGTTCTAACACGTGGCAACCAATCTGATCTCCATGTTCTAGAATTTCACAAAATGAGTTAGTCATCTGGCCACTTTGGCATGTTCTGTGTCTGCAGTTTTATAGATCAGAAATACTCAGATTAAGAAGATATATCTATATTGAACATATAATAAATAATAAACATATAATGAACAAATTGTTCTTTTTGTTGATTTACCACATTACTTAACTGTGCATCTAGTAAATGATAATTTAGTTGTTTCCAGTATGGTGCTGTTATAAGTAATATTCTTTTATTTCTTAACTGACTCGTCATTACAGTCACAGAGGCTAAATAAGAGCATACATTGGATTTTATAAATGTCTTTAAATGTTATACACACAACTGTGAGACCCACTTTACTAGTGAAGCTTCTGTTTCTCCTCTCATGCCAATGGTACAGAAAGAAAAGATGCATTTCCTTTTTGTTTTATCATTTGTGAGGTTGCCTTCAACATTCAGTTGCTGTGAGCCCACTACAGTAATTTGCATATCCACTTCAAAGCATACAGAGCAGGGGTGCACAGAGTTTCTGCATAATGCCAGATAGTAAATATTTTTGCCATTCAGTCCATATGTTCAACTCATTCAACACAAAAACATACTTGTGTTTAAGTGAATGTTTATGTCTTATGTTGTATGTAATAAAATTTATTTTCGAAAACACCCAAGTGCCAGAATTGAGGTTTCTCACTCCTAACTTGAGTCCAAAGGTGCTGAAATTAGGGTAAACCAAGTGCTACTTTCTTATTCACCATTTGGGAAAATGCCAAATACAGGCCTGGAAAATAGAGAAACGTATAAAAGATTTTTTGTAGCACAAAATGATCCCAAGGTCACAGAGAACGTGCTAGCAGTAACAGAATCGAAACAGATCTTCTAAGAATTAACTCCATGCATCCTAAGTCCTGATCAGTTACACATCCATATTCATCACAAAGCTGAGTAGAATTGCTTGTACTCAGTTTTAATCTACAGCTCAATCAACTACAGGGATGGTTAAGATTTCTCAAAAATTGCCCAGCCTAACAATTACAGGGAGGAGTTGGAGGAAAGGGAGGGGTGGGACTGGTATAAATATTCATGTATGAAATTCTAAAAACAAAATTTAAATTAATAACAATTTTAATTATGTGTATGCCTGTGTGGGTATGTGTACAGTTGAGTGTAGATGCTCACAAAGGCCAGAAGAGGGTTTCAGATTCCCCAGAACCAGAATGGCTGTCAGACCTGACTTCCTTCATGCAGAGAATTAAACTCAGGTCCTCTGGGAGAGTGGGAAGCACTTTTTAACTGCTGAGCTATCTTCTCTCTAGCCCCTGAAATCCTCTTCTTACTCAGGAAACCTCTGTGTTTGCAAATTTTCATTCATTTTATCTCTTAGAGTAACAGTATAATGAAATAAATGATAAAATTTTATGTAATTATAAGACTAGTTCACCAAAACTGCCCTAAATGAATCAGTAAAAGCTTGGGAGGGAGTATGAAATTACTATTAAGCATTTTCAGTGTGTTAGGCATTTTCACATCTTGGCTCTAAACCCTAAGAAAAATGGATATAACATTTGAATGTCTCATGTAAGGCCAAGAATACTGAAACTTCCACAGTAGTATTTATATATTAGTGACAAAGCATCCTTGAGTCCACTACGTGGTAAGTGAAGAATAGATGTCAGGCTGTATCACTTGCATCTCATATATCTTGCTAGTTATTCTTTCTCAGTCCATTTACAGAAGGTTAATGTGTGCTAGTTGTGAGGAGCTTGGTCCTCAAAACAAGGCAGGTACAGCTGTTTTCCAATAAGAGCAAACGGTGTTCCATTTTTAGTTTTAGCAGTGTAGTCATTGGCTACCAGTTCATGGTTTCTACTTTGTTTTTCATGTATTAATACCCCTTGAACTTGAAAGATGATGCCTCTACTAGTGTCAAAAAATGTATGTAATTAATGGCCAGCTTTGCATATTTCCAACATTTATTCATTGTTAAATGCATTCTGGAGTACAATTTTTCTATGCATTTGTACATGTAAATGTGTATGTATTATGTACAGTAACTACTTGGCTGTGGGTAACCTTAAACCTAGATAACAGAGTCCCAGTCACTGAGCCGCCACCGAGTTCTCAGCTATCTCTCCCTCGAGCCCCCTTGTTTCCTGATGCTCCCACCTTATCCCGCATCTGCCTTCCACAGGCCAAATTCACTGAGGAAAAGGAATTGTATGTCCGTTATCCAGAACCTCCACTCTTTGGAGCCCTTTGCTGATGCAAGTAAAGGTGATGACCTTCCTGCTGGCACTGAGGATTATATCCATATAAGAATTCTGAGAAACTGCAGAAAGACCCTTACTACTGTCCAAGGGATTGCTGATGATTATGATAAAAAGAAGCTAGTGAAGGCCTTTTAAGAAAAAAATTGCCTGCAATGCTACTGTAATTGATCATCCAGAATATGGAGAAGTAATTCAGCTGTAAGGTGACCTGCATAAGAATATATGCCAGTTCCTGATAGAGATTGACTGGCTTAGGACAGTCAGCTGAAGGTTCATGGATTTGAAGTGCTTGTGGCTCTCTGAAGCTTAAGTGAGGATTTTCTTACAATGAGTATAATTTTCCTTCTGTCCCTTGTCACAAGTTTAAAACCGTCACAGCCTGTATAATGTAACCATTTGAGGTCCTCTTTTAACTTGAACCAGTGTAACTCCTTCATGCAATAAACTGAAAAGAGCAAAAAAAAAAAAACCCTAGCTAACATAAACTCTTGAAGTAAGATACTAAGTTAAAATAAACACTGATTTTCTTGTTTGTACTCTGCTCATCGTTTTCTCATTCAATAAGCAGTCAGTGCTATGCAGTAGCAGCTTTTGCAGGCACATCAAAGAACTGTGTTACTTGTGTATTCTGAATTTTTGTATACATTTATACATGTAAATGAGTATTATGTATATTCCTTTGTGTGCATGTGTTCAAAGAAGTCAGTATTACTCATCTGCTTTCAGCTGCTCTGCTGAAATATTCTTAGCACCTGAGGAGTTATATTTTCTTCTACACTCCTGAGAAGTAAGCAGCACCATGATGGTTGTGTAAATAGTATATTTGTTTATATTTATGGGTTTATCTTGTGTGTATCAGTAATAAAAATGTTTGGTTTTCTGTGTTTTCAACCTGTAGTGGTAGAAACCATGCTTGGTGTCCTGCAGCTTTATTCAGCAGATTGAGATGGATTCAGCTTTAGTTCATTGTACTGCCTCTTTGGTATTTTGTTTGTATATGTATCATAAGTTATTCAAGTGCTGATAAACATGTTTCCAACTTCTTATGTGGAGTTTTGGAATTAGTCTTTTGTGTGTTTAGGCAAGTTAAAGCTATACATATATATGTGTGAACTGATACAGATTTGGTGGTTTCTACTTTTTTATTTTTGAGAATTTCATATGACTATTGCATTATTTCTATTCCTCCCAGTCCCCCTCCAACTCCTGTGTCCCCTCCCACTCTTTCCCAATTGTCTTCTTCATTAATTATTGTTACATATACATAAATACATTTATGAATGTGTGTGTGTGTATATATATATAAATGCATTGAATCCATAGTGGTGCTCATGTGTTCTTGTAATTGGGGGTTCCCATTTAGGATTAGATAACCTCTCAGGAAGATAGTCCCTCGTGAAGTATTCATTGATTGCCTGTAGATCTTCATCTTGAGGTCAGACCCCACGAAATTTCCTCCTTCCACCTTGACATGTCAACTGACTTTTTCATTATGCAGATCTTTTTAGACTAACATACTGTAGTGATTTCATTGGTGTAGCTTCCCTATCATGTCTAGATGTCTAGGTGTCTTGTCCCTCTGGCTCTTACATTCTCTTTGCTCCCTCTTCCATGATGTTGCCTGAGCCTTAGTTGTAGAGATTTCATTGTAGATGTATCACTTAGGGCCGAACACCTCCATCGTTTTTTCTCTGCATTTGACCAGTTGTGTAACAATGTAATAGTCTCCATCTGATGCCAAAAGAAGCTTCTTTGATGAGTGATGAGACATGCACTTGTTTGTAACTACAAGAATACATATTAGTATATAGCAAGAAAGTACATTGGTCTTGGGAAGTGACAGAAGTAGGTTCTTTAGGGTTTATGAACTCTCCAGCTACATGAACTTGACTATGTTTACATTACCAGACTTGGATTCCTTTGCATTGAATGGGCCTTAAGTAATTAAACAGCTGTTGATTTACCTCCAAGATAAAAGTGACACTACTACACCAGTGGAGATAATTGGCTGGTCTGGTTATTGTTGTGGTTGGTAGGCTTTATAGCTGGGTAGGATCATTGATTGATTTTTCGCCCATGGCAACTTGCATAATATCTTCTAATACAGTGAGTAGTCTTTAGGGAGGAGGCTTTGAAGTCAGTTCCCAGCTCAATTGCTCCAGTTCCTTTGTCCCAAGTATGTTGTATCTTCAGCGATAGGGTCTTACCTTTACATTCTGGGAGGCAATCAAGGACTGTGGCAATATCTTGTATTATTTCCACAATCGGAAAGGTTCCCCTTGCCTGGCACTGTGATTTTTGTTATATATCCTTTAGCTATACACATGTGTCTTTTTTAGTAGGCTTATTAAATACATTTCCTTTTGACTTTTCACACCATCTAAGCATTACTTACCTTTTTCCTGTCTCCCCCGTATAGCTCTT